GTTTCAGCAGGGAAGTGAAGCTAGAATAACATCTAACATGTCTGTCTCAGAAATGGAAGTTAACCGAGCATTTTTCACTTCAATCATAAATTAGGAACTCAGGACATTGCTAAAGTTCTCAGTTGCATAGGTGGCTTTTATCTACAAGAATCAGGACCTTCCCTCTCCAATCAGGTGTGTGAATATGTGTGTGTATGTGTTTACCAAGGACGAGTCAAGAAAGGAGGAAATACGTTGCCTCAATCTCGAGAAAGTTTTCAAAAATATTATTTAAAAAATTATAATTACCATAATGGTAATTCTAAATGTTTCTTAGAATGTTTAAATAGAATTACTGTGGACAGGGAATACTTAATCACTTCTGAGTTATATTATTTTTCACTGTATGTGATGATAGGTGAATTAGGATGGTATTATTCTTCTTCCTGAAGAGACTGGACACAAAATCAGAATTATGATGTTGTTGTAAGAAGGAACCTTATCACCAAACAAGAGTAGAAGAATGGATCTTTACACTGGCTTTAGAAGAACTGAGTCTCAGTTTGAATTCTCTCACACTTAGTGTTTTCTGATCTTTTACAAGCCCATTACCTTCTGTGATATACAACTTTTCTTGGAAATGAAACAAGTTACATTTGTTCCTTCCAACCCTCCTGATCAAATAAGAAAACAATTTTGATTTTTAAAATCTAAGCACTATATGTATTTGTTAAACAGATGTAATATCATCTGGGGGCTCTGCTAGATACTATATAATGTTACCATTTAAGCAAATGTTTGATTATTTTTGTTAATGATGGTGGCATTGATGATTTGCTGTCAACAATGATAATGATATGGAAAAAAATTGAATTTGAATGTACTTGAAAAAACCAAACAACAAAAATTCATATTTTCCTAAATTTACCTATTGCAAATATCAATTATTAACAAATAAAATAAAACAACTAAAAACAGAACAGTGTATGTGTTGCCATTCAGTATCAGTGGTATAAAATATTTTTGATTAAATAGCTTAATGGAGCTGAGTCTAAAACATCCTTTATATTTTTATGACACTTTTGAAATGATTGGTTATTATTTCACAACCAAGTGAATTTTGTAAAATTACTTTTACCTGGCTTTTTGTAAATTCTCATTTCCTTTCTTTCCTTTTTTTAACCATGCATGGAGGGAAATATTTCTGTATTCTAATTATTCCAGTCAAAATCTTTCTTCTTGCCACAAGAAAAGAATACAGAAAAAAAATGATCAATTTTATTTTATTCAGGAATCCTTTGTGGAATACAGGTGTCTGGATTCATCTCTGAGTTACATGGGAAGTGATAATTATATGATGGGGTTGATCCGTGATCGGAGGGCTCGTCACAGCTTAGGTAAGGATTTTCCAC